TTTGCAAAAGTTATTAAATCTTCAATACATGATAATATATTTTGAATACATATAAATATGAAAAAATTCTAATGTGGTAGATTTAAGCCCTTTTTAACATGGTTTGCCACTTAGTAGTGCCATATACCCTGAAGAAACAAATTCCATATTTAATTTTCAATCTGTAGAAGTTGCCAACACTAGAATTTTCTCAATCATCTTGATCACTAAAATTTTCAAAACATGACATGGAGCTTTGATAAAAATCGGACCATTTGTCACATTCTGAATCAGTTTAAACATTGTATGTTAACGGTTGACGATTTACTCAACCCAATAGAGTGATTGTTACACGAAGTCTATCCCAACTACTTGGCATTCCACATTATCATATAGATGATAAAACTTGGGTCGATTTTGTACATTTAGTTAGGAGGAACCATTGTTGACTTCCTTTAGATAACTTGTTTGTTGATTTATGTACATAATGTATGTTTACTAAAGCAGGAAATCTTTTGTCGGTGAAGTTAATGAAGTACCGTTATAAACCTGGACTGGGTAAAAGGTATAACAGAGATAGCTCTGACAAATGAATGGATATTTTTAAAAATAAAAACAGTGTCTTGGAAAAATGACAGAAGAGTTTCATGAATATTTTAATACTGTTAATCCAAAAATGATTCATGGAGAATGAACTAGTTTGATTATATTTTAGTATTTGTGTTGGCATTTATGTGTGTCATGTTTGATATATAACAAAGAAAAAAACTCCTAGCTGATTTGTAATTTGTATTGTTTAAAGGCCTTGGTATATATTCCAAACCAAAAAAATAAAAATACATCCCCCACATACACCCCCCCCCCTACCCCCCAAAAAAAACCTGGTAGATTTGTGTACTGAAAGAAGGACAAGGACCTCCAGATAGAAATCTCTCATTCATCCTTTGCTTTTAATTACCATGCATGCATCCATTACCAATATATTGAATTAAGCCACAGATATTCAAGATGTACTTGGAATAAACTGGTGACTGTTTAATTGATCTTTCTATTACATCTTGCTTACAATCTAAGTCTCTAGTTACATTTGAATAAATCCGTATTTCTGTAAATTACACGTAATTATTATTGATCCAGTAATATCTCTATTACAAGTGTACTTTATGGGTATTTACCTAAGGTCTCCATGTGATTGACAGGTCGGTCTAAAAATGATCAAGAGTGCTACAGTATATACAGATTTGATGGCCCAATAGAGATGAAAGGGGGCATTTTTCTTTGATGTCAATATAAATAAATTCCTTCTGGGCCGTGCATATGTGTAAAACATATAAGATAAGTTATACAGAAAATTCTTGAACTCATTCCCAGTAATAAGTGTAGATTAAAATTTAGGAAAGGGGATGGTTGGTAATTTGGTCTTTATTTTGCATGGACAGATGTTGGTGTGTTCAGCAGCATTAAAATAAAAATACATGTACATGTAGATAATTTATTGAATCCGCAATAAAAAAAATTTACTGTTGTACACTCATCATTCTGAGCCTGCCAGGCATATATGGAAGAACTAAATTAATCTTTTAACCTTTTTTTTTTCCAATGTACATATACAGTTTAACTTCAGTATCTCGAACACTGATATCTCGATAACCATGGATATGTCGACATGGTCGAAGTGATTTGGAAGTCCCAACTACTTATTCATATCTTGAATCCTCAGATATCTCAAAGTTTTTTTTTTTGGTCCCATAGAGTTCGAGATAAGGAGGCTTGACTGTACATGTGTCCTGTAATTATAATGTTAAAAAGTAAAAATGTGAGGTGTCTGTGTTTGATGTATGTATCCAGTCACCAACATGTAATGTCACAGGTTATTATTTCTTCTATTGTCATGTCTTTTTTAACACCCATTGGATGATTGTCATTCTGACCTCAGAAAATATCAATAGCACATACAGCATCGTGAAAGCTTTACCAGTCATTTTGAACCAGACACACCTGTTCCCACCCTTCCCTCCCCCCTCATTTGACGTTATGAATGTTAATATGGGGGGACCCTTTCTTAATGTCTTATATGTACATTTGATATTTTAGTGTAAGCTAATAGCAATTATTAAGATACATTAAATGGTTCTAAGTACCTTCGGAGTTTTTCCAAAAAGAAATCCAGTTCACAATTAAAATACGAACAATTTCAGCAATCCTTGTGAGGCAAAATTTGACAGAAATGACCTTTAAATTTGAAAATTTCATACAGGAATAATAGACATCCCAATTAGAGTTATTTCTCTTATCAGAGGGTCAGAAAACCTTAAGAATGTTCAATATGAGCAAAATTGAAATCATTTGTGATAATTAAAACTTACAATTGGTCAGCCAATTCGAATGTTTGATACCTATTTTAATTTGTGTGTATTGGTGGTGATGGTGGTGGTGTGTGTATGTGTGTGTGTGGAAAAGGGGTGGGGGGGGGGGTGGGGAGGAAGTCAGTCATTGAGAAGTGCAGTGACTTGACAATGCAGCTGTGCAATATGACTTGACAATGCAGCTGTTTAAAAGTATGTATTTTTTTTCTTACATTTGACTGCAAACATTGCTGCCAAACCCGTATGAAACAGTCCGGGCGGCTTAGACACGGCTCAGGCACGGATTCCGTTTCCAGAAACCCGTGCTTTTAGCATTCCTGCTCCTATGTAAAATATGTATGGAAAGCCGTGCCTAAAAGTGGTCGAGGCACGGACACGGCACGGGATACTGGCCGAATTATTTAAATTAGATCACACGGTTTTACAAAACCCGTGTCAGAAAGCCGTGCTAGTTTCCATATATGGACTCACGGATTCTGTAAACCCATGTCTGAAACCCGTGTCCTTTTCCATATATGGAGACACAGATTTTTGGAAACCCGTGTCAAAAAAGCCGTGTGACATACCATATATGGAGTCACGGGATCTGTGCATTTGTTTAGATCTAGGTCAGGGCCTTTAGAGAATCTCCTGATGCAACTGTAGATGCCAAAATGGTGACTGAAACCAAACTTCACAATGCTTTACATTATTTTTATGCTTAGTTTTAGAATTTTAAAAGTTAAAAATCTTATATGAATGTGTCCATTTACTATCTGTTAAGTGTTAAAAATTTGCCTCATCAGTGACAATCCATGCTAGCTTTTAATTAAGAATTTAATGATAGTGTACAATTCAATTGTAATTTTATCTAATCTAAGTTTGCACAATCTGAGAAAGAATTTAATTTAAATAAACTTTCTGTAACATAGTAATAATAAATGACCCATAAAATGTCTAGGGATTAATTAGTGAAAGTCCAACTAAAGTCATTCAAATAAACAAGGACTATTTCATCAGGTTCATTGTCAACACTGCAATACAGAAATTTCATGAAAATTGAAAATGACTTATTTATTCTATATTACACTTACTGCATTTAGTTCAAAAGTGATGAAATCATCCCAGACTGACATAAATACAATTCCAACTGACATCTATTAGTTAAATATCCTTTAACTATAGTAAAAAAGACACATTCTTAGCTCATGACCATGAATCCCTCCAATTTAATATTCAAATAAAGGAAGTTATGATTGAGCATGCTCAGTAAAAAGCCGTGAGATATAAATAAATAGTTTGAAGCAAAACCCACTTGAGTTAAAAACCGTCTCTCTGGGACACGGATTCCGTGCCTCCACACAGGTTTTTGTGAGCGAGGATTCCTCACTTTCAGACTCAGAATCCGTGTCCGTATCTTGGACATGCAGAACCCGAACGGCTTTTTAAAAACCCGTGCGGGTTCCGTGCCTTAGCCGTGCCCAAGCCGTGCCTATTCCGCCTCAAACTTTCGTACGGGAAGTTACTTTTAAATAACAATCATACACCTGTGTATTTTCCCTTGACCTTTGACCTAACTAGTGGACAAATGCTAATTCACAAAATCCTGCAACCTGTCAATCTGTCGGTTAAAGAATAAAAATTGAAATGATGGGAAAATCTATAAAATTTATATGATAAATGTACCTCCCTATTGATTGAATCAGAGTGTCACCATATGGTGTGCCTCATCGCTCTTACCTTTCAGTGAAATATGGCTTATCAAACAGAAAATGTACCGGATGTTTGGGGTTGAGCTTGTGTGTATTTCTAATGTAGATGGTACGTATATTTCTGATACAGGTGATGGGGTATAGAGGGACTTATCTTAATCTGGATTTATATAGTTATACATACCTTCATTTGCAGCTGCTTTCCACAAAAAAAAATCCTAACTGCATTGGTTTTGTGAATTGAATTCTATTACCTGGATACATAACTGAATTGATATAAAATACTGTATCAAATGTAAGTTTTAGAACTCTGCTTGTCAAAAAAAAAGGTCATTGTATTGAGAAAATTAAAGATTTTTTTGTGTTCAAATAAATCTTTGAATTTGGATCAATACTTTATTGAAAAAGAGTAGGTTGTAAAAGAGACATACTGAATGAAATGCGTAGATTGTGTGTGAAAAAGTATCAAAAGTTTGTGGGCAAAGAAAATATACATACCCATGTGTATATTCTTAGTCACACCAACCTGATTTTTTCTTTGTTATCAGAATTGAATTGACTGTTGAGAAATTTTTCCTGTTGATTTTTACAATTTCTCATTTTTTATGCAAGGTCTACCTTTAAATTATTGGAAAAGTTTTGACAAATTACCTGTTTCATTTGTCAACGGTATACTCCACTACATCTCTTGACTTTATAGTGTTCCAATTCTCATGATTGATTTGTTCAAGGGAATATAGATTAAAACCTCCATTGATAGGTTAAACCTGCAAAATGATGTACCCAGTGTAAGGCATGGGTAATATAATGCCATCGAACTGGAAAATAATAGAATACGTAAAGCTGTAGTAATGGTGGGTATATTGTATTACTGTATGAAACAAGAGGTGGTTTTGTAAGGGACTGATCTTTTATGACTTTTTGTTTTAATTGAATTGTTCATTTTTTTTTTTTTTTTTTGCAGAATCGAAGATCGTCAGAAGAGAAAGACCGCCACCTTCAGAAAAGAATTGCTGAGCTTCAGGCTCAGACACAAAGGCTCGAACGTAAAATTGGTCTCCTAAAAACAGAAAATGACTCGCTGGTAAGAATATCCAACTCAGAGTGATAAATATAATATTTACCGTATATGTTTATGTGTATGACAAAACATTTAGATTAATCTTTCTACCAATCATTAAATAATTTTTGGAAATAATGCATACAGTTGGTAATGTTTTGACAATGCATTTTAAAACAGCATTGCTCATTTGTCTTGATTTGATTTATTTTGGAAATTAATGCTCTGAATTATGAATAGATCTCACTCTTGACAACTTCCATTTCATCACATGATTGGTTTATTTAATAGTTTTTGCATGTAAACTGAGTATTTGCACAGTATTATATCATGCATTTGAAATGTATATCGGTATGCAAATCCTTTGCAATGTTGCCCGTAAATTATAAGCCAAACATTGGCAAGCCTAAACGTTTAACCTTATTTGTGTTATTGATATGCATTTAAAAAACAAGGATCAACTTCTAATCTGAAACACTTAACAATGTGGACTAAATTATGTCGTTAAACTTTAAATGGTTATTAAATTGAAAAGGATACATGCTATAATCTCCCCAAGTTTATACATGTGCTAAAGTACCTGTGTATTGTTTATGGTGCCACTTAGATAATTACGGTAGAAAATGGCACTTTCTGTTCCATTGGAATCTGTATGAGCATTGGTGAATGCAGAGCACATCTACATGTGGAGGTTTTTACTTGTGCACATAACACATATTACACTTAAAATATGTGTAAACAAAGAGCAGTTTTTCTGATTAAGACAATTTATATTGATTTCTTCATACATTTTATTTAATAAGCATTAATGTTTAGTTAAATTAAAAAAATTTCTGTCAAGCCTTTCAAAACTTCTGTGATATGTATACCGTAAATCTGGAAATTTTTACGTCGATTTATTTTTGCGAATCTGGGTCAAAAAGCTGTTGATTAATTTTTACGTTTCAAAATTTTGCGAATTGCCATTGGTGTTCAATTGAAAAGCGCTTAGAATTTTCAAAACAGTTTATACGGAACGCATGTACATACAATAAATCACGCATGTACTCGTACGTATACAATACTAAGCGATGCCAACGTTCAATAATCAGATTATAAATCATGCATATATACATACAATAAATTACGCTTGTACATACAATATTAAAAGATTGCAACGTTCAATAATCAGATAAAAATATTAAAAGCAATAAAACATCTAAACTGTTTAAAGTTGTCATAACATTTTATTAAATCACGTACATAAAATGATGTCAGCTTTAACTAACCTTCTAATAAAAACATTCTCTACCGGGTATAAGAAGAGAAAAAACGTCTAATTAATATTGAGTTACATAATATGAATAAAACTGGACTCTCTTTCTTGGAGAAATAATTAAAGAGACACGAATGTAGTGAAGACACTTTCCATGCACGGATTATCACGGGTAATTAGCTTGTAGTATAAACAGATTTCTTAAAGTGACAGTACGGCGCATCTCATCAAAAAACTGACTAGATAAAATTTTCCGACAAGATTTTGAATTTTTTTACTACTCATAAATGTATAAACTTTCAGAAAATTACAACTTTTACAATTAAATAATTTGGATTATTTCATTAAAATTAATAGTTATTTATGGGACGTAAATATATACATCGCAACGTGTTCGGGGTTCCACATTCCATGCTATGCACGCATGCGTAGTTTTCATAAACAAAACAGCATGGTTAGAGAGGGAATCCCGGTAGGCCTACTACATTGACAAAGTCGACTAAAAATAAAAAGAAACTGAAAATAGAACTTGAAAAAGCAACTTTCCTGGCTAAAATTTAGTTTGGGGGTTAATATAATCGCTGGATAAGGAAGAAACGGGAACTCGACGACACTCAAGCAGGGCTCTCGAAGGTTCTATTCGACAGGTTTGTTGATACTTGTTATCATTTCTCATTTTTCCGTCGCTTTCAAAGAAAAAAAAATAGTGTAAACTCAACATAAAAAATACATCTTTGACTTATAAACATTGTTGCCATTTGAAATGCTAATTTTTTTTAACTGTGCAGAAAAATATTTTGTTTGACATTTGCCGCGATAACGTATGATTAGTTGGTTTTTCCTTTCTCGGACCCCAATACACAAAACGTCAACATGTGTATTTTTAATTCTGTTAAATTTGCCTGAATACAGACTAAAATCTTTACGATTATTATTTTAGATTATTTTATCAGAAAGTTATGATAATTTGTGTTTTTGAAAATTGCCTTCACCTAATATTCATTATAACTGTAAACTCTACAGTGTAGGCACGTGCCGTTTTGGAATTCACGTGGTACAAATAAACAGATCTAAGATTGCTCCAGTTCGTACGACCCTTGATTTTCCGGCAGATTCTAATTACGTTAATTTTGTTTGAGTACAGAATATTTCTGTTTCTCAAACTGCTTACATCAAGTTTATACCTTATTTCTTAATGACATATTGGGTAAATTTGGATGAAAAAGCACACATTTTGCAGCCGTACTGTCGCTTTAAATTGTCTAATGCTTATGAACACCTGTTCACTGGGTTAAAAAAAATTGCCACCAGCTGTCAGCAAACTTTTTGTTTACATTTTTTGTTGTTGATTTATTTTTAAGAAAAATATTTTTGCGAATGCAATGCACACGCAAATTTGTTAAAAATTTATCTACAGTAAAAATTTCCAGATTTACGGTATATACATATAATCTAACACATGATCTGCAGTATCAGTCTTAGTAGAACAAATATTTGGTTTCCTTGTGGTAAACTCACATTATAGTCAGCAAATGGACCTCATCAAAAGTTGCTCAGATGGATGAATACACATATAAAATGTAGTACAAATTAATAAAGGTTAACAAAAGGGCAGGTAATTTGTCAATAATCGCTTGATAGATTACTTGGAGCTTTGCCATAGATAGTAATAATAAACATATATATACACCTCTCATCCTGATTACAGTGTCTTGAAAGAAATATTAAATAATTTATTGGTATTTTACATATGAAAGGTTTACTTTGTCATAGAAATTTAAGTTGCAGTATAGATGCTGATTGAAGGTGGAATTTTTAAGTTAGGACATTTTATAAAGGGAGAGACTTTTTCAGATAACTGTTATATTTCACACTACCATACAGTCAGATGAAAATATCTTCTGTTTGAATTCTTCCAGAATAAAATTCATCGGCCAGTGGTTTAATTATCACATGTTGATTTCCAATTGCCAGAGGAGATAACTCTGCCGTAATGAGCCACTTTCATTAACTGTCATTTGGCATATAAACCCTGGTATTTTATTGAGCAGAAAATAATTTTTCTCCTTCTACCTGGTAATGTTTGTTGATTACATATATATTGATCACAGAAGTCTATGCCCTCCATGATTTCTTTGATCTTTTTTTCTATACCATCATTTCTCCCTATCGGGCAGAAATTGATAAGTTAAATATTGAAAATTTTCCCTCTTTGATTGCCAATTGCACAAAAATGCAAAAAGAAAAAGAAGGCCAGATTTTGTTTTGAGCTATGAAATTACAGCTATAGTATTGTTGTTGATGAGTAGTAGGGTAATTTAATCACTATTAAATTTGATACTTCTTATCTACAGGTATTTTCCTCTAAGCCCTAACTTACACCATTTAAACATACAATAAAAGATTTCTTTTCTTCAGACCATGATAAAATCTTTACTTAATTGATGAAAGGTCATCTGGACTCTCAAAGTCATATGGTTTACAAAACAATAGCTTTTATCTTTATGTATATATATGTTCCACCATCTAACATCATCACATTAACTTAAAATTACTTGCTTGATTGATAAGTTTCACAAAAGGATCATCGATTGAAATATTGCCTGCATCATATCTTACTTATGACACCACATACTGATAGGAATAAAGTATTAAAATAATCTTAAAAATTGCAAAAATAAGAGATTGGAAAGACAACTATCCATGAGATGTATTTGGCCCTTTGCCTGTCTTTAATACCTGTATGATTATATATATATCCATGATGTACATGATTATACACCCAACATATGGTGCAGACAAAATTGACAGAATATGATGCTTTGCATTGTTTTCAGTCAAAATATGTATTGACACTGGCCAAAAAAAAAAAATAGAGGAAAAAGGGTTTGTGTCAAATGTGGTGGAAAAAAAAGTGTGTTGTGAATCACTTGACACTAAACATCCAATGTCTAGGGGGCGTTATTTTGTTGTTCAAGTCATCAGTACCTGGCAAAACATAACGACATTGTTATAACTGACCAGTGAATTTATTAACATCTGACTTTCCAGAAGCACGAAACTCTAAGCCAAAAGGTAATTTTTTTCTCTATATTTTTTCCTCACCTTTTACTAATCGTAAGTTAGTCGGACAGCATGACCAGATACTAAAAAAAATCCCCATGGTGGCAGTTGTCAAAATGACAGGAGTTTTGCCCATTGATTATAAACGTTTCTTGGCTACGACAGGTTTATGACAAAATGGGTCTTTCAAAGTGTTCTCAAAGACAGTTTATATGATGTAGACATGTTTTTCCTAGCAGTTGTATATGGTTCCATCTAAATATTTTCCCTTATTAGTAAAATTTCTTGTATGTAACATGCATAACACATTTTTTAGGTAACAGCTATGATCTGTTGCATTGAGAGTGCAGCAGTGTATTGCATATAATCAAAAGAATGCATTGTAAATTATACCTATAGCAAAAGAAAAATGAGCCTGTTATATCCAAGTGGTTAAAATATTCAAAATTTCCTTTTAAAAATATCTTTGTGTATCGTATTAATTGAGCTTTCTACTAATCAGAAATTGGTCAAAGGAGCATGCAATCACATGCATTAACTGTAAATCAAATATTGGTTTTGTTGATTGGTCTGTAAAATAGCTAGCTACCGTATTATTGACTATGATATATGGATGTGATCAATAGACTAGCTGGTAGGCCATGGCCACTAATAAAAACATTGTTGACATTCTTTTTAATCAGATACAGAAGGCAATCCTTGAATATATGCTATCTATATATGCTTACTTAATTATTATCCTGATACAGTTCTACCAAGTATGACAAGTGAAAAATTTCTTATGTATGATCCTGCAAACTATGTGTGTTTGTGATGGGATGGGGTGGGGGACAAATTGATTCCCATTTATAAACAGGGTTTTTATCCCTTTCCATTTTACAATATATATTACTACGGATTTTATTATTTTGAGTATTTCAATTTTTTATGCTAACATATTTTCCTGGCATAATCATGATAATATATTGTAAGTCTTGAGATATATAAATGAAATGAAATGAAATTACACTTATTTGGTACTTGCAAGTGCAATAGACTTTGGAAAATATTTGCTGATTGTTAATAGGTTGAATGGTGAAGTGACGTACATCTCTTATTCAGATTTGCTTGGTTTCTGGGTTAAAATAATTTTAGAATACACTAATGATGCTTTTCAGATTTGGGATATAAAGGGAATATAGCATCTAAAAGCTTGTTTGTTTTTTTTTTAAGGATGATTGATTGTTTGCATGCAAAGAATTCTAATTTAAGTTGTTAAAATATCATGAAATACCATATACATTAATTTTCAAGTTATGGGAGGAATAATTTTGTTATTGCATGTGTACTGGCTGCAAAATCAGATTTTCATGGGGTCAAATTTTCATGGTAAGTGGAAAAAATTATTTGTTGGTGAGGATTTGATTTCATGGTTGAAGATATATAATGGAATTTTAACATTTCATGGAGGACATGAATTAATGTATCTCTTTATACCACAAAGCAACAAAACAAAAATTAAACCCCCATGAAAATGAGTGATTTTACAGTACTTGGGCCAAATGATAATTATGAGGAAACAAAATTAAATATTATACAGCTTATATGGCACATTTATGTGTCACAATTTCATTCTTGGTGATCATTGGCAGAATTAACATTGATATGCTATTAAGTTAGGACATTTTTACACAAAATTTGGACTTTCTAGTGATGCTGACAAATAAGATGCCATCATCATTGAATGAATGACAGGAACTTTCTATGCATCAAATATAATCTCTGAAATGTACTTGATGCTTCTAATGTGAAAACATTCTCTAGAAAATATTAAATACATGTACTTGCATAAGTATTTGATAGGTTGATGTTACCTTCTTTTTTATAGTTTTTTTTTAAAAATTAATTTGTACCCTTGGCTCACATGGACACTACTTAAGATACGCCATTCAGGGTTTGACACTAAGGCACGTCCGACTGACCCAGTCTAGTAAAAGAGAGGTCCGGTCGTGTCAAAAGTTCGTGAACTAGACCGACTGGTCGTGTGGATGAAATAAATGTTAACCCTCATTGCAGTCTTCCAAATAAATGTTATAAAAACTTTTTAAAGAAATTTTCTTAATTTTACGATTGTAAACACAGCCATCGATCTGAAAAAGAAAACTTCCCCGCATGGCACAATTGCTGTTTTTAGCCCGACTGTAATAGACAACTCGCGATCGAAACTAGCCAAGTTATCGAATAATATATTCTCTAATTTATTTATATTTACGGTAATATTTTTAAAAATTTCCTTGAATGTTCTTTAAAGCCTATGATATTCGCATGTTTCGCATAACCCGACTCAATGGGCTGCGACCTATGGAAAGTGTAATCTTAACACGTGCTAGAGATAGTATGGTTTCGAACTTTTTTCATTAAAATACCAGGTTATAAAAAGAAAATTTTTGTAAACCATGTAAAGTATTGAATTAATTGTGATGCAGTATTTCTTCAGAGCAGAATTATCTTCTCGTCACGACAAACTGAAGACATCTTTCTACTCATCAACTATAAAAATTCTCTAATTATTGAAGGAACAAGTTAATTCTCTTCTGTCTTCAATCATCTTTATAAAAAAATTCAATATTTGACATAATACAATTTTCAAGACCAAAAAAGTAAATTACTTCTATGATCTGACATTTCTAAAGGAATTTACACTATGTAGATTTGACACATGGAACAAAATGATTTGTAGGACAAAATCATCCAAATTAAGTTTCGAATTTCATGAGGTCACATCAACAATTGAGTTGGTTTCAGACGATGCTGTATGTCTGAATTCTATCTCCCTCTCTTTGATTTTCATTCATCAAAATAATATGTGTAAATTTGGGTAAATTTCCACATTTCAAAAATGTACAATTTTTTTTTCAGAAACGACAAAAAGATGACCAGAAACCTTTGGAAGAGAAAATTAAAACACTGAAAAAACGCAATGCGGAACTTGCAGCCATTGCTAGACGTCTCGAAGAGAAAGCGAAGCATCTCCAGCAAGAAAACATGAAGGTACAACATGGCTACCTGGCTTCCATTTAAAATATTCAAGTAGCAAAAGAAAAAAGGCTATACAATTTATCAACACAAATGAAAATAACAAGTATTCCTTGTTTTGCTTTTAGAAGGTAAAAGAAGAGATGAGTCCACCAGAATCTGACCATATGAAGAAACTGTTTGCAAGGCAGAGGGCAAAAGATCTCGCAGACCATGCCAAAGCCATGCTAGCAAAGGATCGCGAGATTGAGGAACTACGCAAAAAATGTCAGGAATTGGCAGATACACTCAGCAATGCCGACTTTCTTGGTCCAGAGGTAAATGTTGGCTATAGTCTCTCACTTATATAAACTTATACTGGAAAACAGTCGTTCCATTGAAATGTTTTTCCTATGCACCTTCTGTTCGAAAACATTTTACGAAAACATTTAAAGAAGTCGGATTAAAGACTGAATTTTTTTGGTATTCATAATAATTCCATCAGTTTTTAAGTATTCTTTAAAAAATAGAATATATTGCAATAAATTAGGGCAAAATCTTCTATTTTGATAAGAATTCCAGGGCAAAATCATCTATTTTGATAAGAATTCCAGGACTGAAAATACTTGTATCTATATATAGATATACCCTTTCCTGCAAGCTCATAGGGAAGAAAATGCTTATAAACTACAATTATGCAAAGGAAGGAATTGCACCAATTAAGTGCAAAATTTTACATCCTAAAAAAATTTTTTAAAGAAATTTCTCCACTTGTATTTAAACAGTTTTTATGGTTATAAATTAATCTGGAGGACTTGATGAAAAACCATTCAGGTTAGTTTAAATATTTTTTAGTGTACATAGTCTCTCTACTTGAGGTGTGATACTCATCGGACTTCAGGTGCATAATTCAAGGCTTGTAAACTAAATATTGCACATTTCAAATCTGATTTAATTAAGAAACCTGAATTTACACAGTGTTTTTTTTTTTTGAAGAAATTAAAGTATAAAAATATGAATTAGCTCCATAATTTGGCAAATTGAAGATTACAGTTTAATATAACAAAATTGAAATAGACATACTGTGGTTTCATCATTAATCATTGAACACCAATATATTGTAGATTTTGTTGTTGAGTCAATCCATAAAATTAATAATTGATTTTTTTTTTTTAAACTCGAACAAACTTATGGTCAAACACTGATTATCACCTGCTTTATGCAAAACAAATTATCTATCGTAAAATAAAAATTCGGGTAGAAAATTCACAATTACTCTATTCACAACAGGCCTAAATTATAAAAATTATTACCACAATTTAATGTTAAATTGAATTTTATTAACTTTTTTTTTTTTAACAAACTGATATTCTTTCCAGAGCCTTAGTGTAAAAATGCATAATGGCCAAAAATAGAGATTTTGACCCCCTGCACTGAGCCCCAGGGAAGGATATCATAATATATTTGGAATGGATCATTAGAGGAAGTTGTTTTCTATTAGTTGTTAAAATTACAAAGCTCTGCCTTTATTCTATCAAATTTTATAGATGCTCAGATACACAACAGACAGGGTTTTCTGAATTTCCCTACCATTCAGATTTTGGCTGATATAGGTTCTGCTCAATAGGCAGTTACACAATCTAAGCATCAAACTCGATACAAGATGACAAAAAAAAGGAAGGAGGAAAAGAGAGAAAAATTACACCCTAACACAGTGTAAAAGAAAAAAAAGAAGTCTTTCACATGTACTTCTTTGTGTGACCCTGCCAGGACCTTAAGACACTGTAGGATCCATGCTCAGTCTGTGGCACATTAAACATATACTGTATAGGGGGAAAATAACTCGCGGTATAAATATTCGCTATATTCACGGTGTTAATAAATCCGTGAATTCAAGAAACAGTGAATAAGTCGTTATTAAAAATACGTTGTTTTTTTTTAGTATGAGTCCAGGCAAGCGGTAGATATGTAAAGATATACATGTAAATTACATACTCTTTCAGTAATTAAGAGTGGAAGTTGACGTTTAATTATTTAATTTCTTTTCGTTCAGATCACCCGATAATAACCTACATTTATCATTAAACACCTGTTAGAAATAGCCAACTACCTGTTTGTTCAATTTTCTATAGTGGTTTATATTTTTGTGATTTTTTTTTTTGACCACTCCTCTTCAGATGAACATTCTTTAAAATCTCTGGCCATGGAAAAAATATATGTTTGTTATGAAAGTCCTTAGCTAGCTACCATTTTAAAGCCCTTGACAATAGGGGCTTGTTTCTCATCCATTTTAGCACTCGTATTCAGCGAGCATGGGTAGGTTTGATGATGGATGTTCAGAAATCTACAACTAAGGGAGTCTGGGTGTATTTTTTTCCAGTACAGTTAATATTAATCACATTGGAGAAATAAAAGTACATTTACTTAATTGTTTTTAACTATGTTTATTTTTGATATCCGATATTTAAGCGGCTTCAGAGTTACAGTGGGGCTGGTATGGAATTCCTCACCCTTATTATTACCATGTTGTAAACATGTGAAGATTCTGACTTTTTATCAATTTGTATGAATTAAATAATATAAAATTGAAGAGTAATCTCTTTATTGCTTTTAACTATTTATGTACTGTTAATGTGAAGGTTCCAGCTTAAGTATATATACAGAGAGAAAGAATGAAGTTTAACAAAAAAGACCAGAAAATTTGATTTCTATGACCATTCTGAATTTATGAATCCTTAAACTGTGAATTTTGCCCATGTATGAATATCATTGAAACCACAGTATTTTTCAGTCACTGAGTCCCATTACGACAGCAAGCAACTACAAAGTTTCTTAATGATTTTTTGTTGTTGTTATTTTATCATGAACAATATATTAAAAACTGTGTGGAAAAAATCCTTGATAGAATTGTACTGAGGAGTGCCTTCCATAAGATTTAATAAAAAATTACTTTAAAAATAAAGAGAGAAATATTGTAGGATAGGTTCAGTGGTATACAACACTGTTTTGATAAGTCTTTGGCAACTTATCTATTATACATTGAAGGACTGAAATGTCATGTTGTTTGTCAATGATACTCTTTATCAAATTATCATCTAGTGATAAACACAGTCTGCAGTCACATCCTCACCTGAGTCGTTACATAATCCAAACTCATGCAAACATACGTGTAAATTAAATCAACCCACAGCACGAGATTCGTCCAAAAGATGTATCGACAGATTGAGAAAAAGTTGTACCTGTTTATATGTATATATATGTAAAAATGGAAGAAATTCTATATATACCTGTGAGATTTAATAGCCTGTCATTAGCAGGAGGGTTGGCTGCATAGGTTCATCATGTCTGTTGCAAGGATCGAGTGTGAACAAATGATCTGTACCAGTTTTACGGGGATTTTATGATGTTGAATTGTGATTTCTGTCAACAGAATGTACAAATGTATGAAGAAAAGGAGGAACTAGTGACCATTATCAAGCAGGCAGCCAAAGAGAGGCTACAGATGGAAAAACAACTGGCCAAGATTAGACCAAATGTGGTAAGTGTCAGTTGAAAAGTTTTTCAAATCTTGTCAGTGGGTTTATTACGATTAACTTGGGATATTAACAGGCAGAATTTTGTCAATAATAACATTTTTCAGCTTGCTTTTATCATTTCCCTATAGGGTAGAAAGATTTTAATTGTAATGCAGTGGTATCTTAGTTGCTATTAACACTGACATTTTAACCTTATCAATTAAGTATTTCTAATGTTTTGCCAAGAACATACCATATACATGGAATTTTAGCGAGATGTAAATTTAGTGATTTAATTGTTCTTAAAAATTGATATATAATTTTTGCTACAGGTAATTTTAGCGATTATATACTTCCTTGAAAGATAAGTCTTACCTCCTACTCAGAATGAATTATTAATGATATTCAATTTTAGTGATCTCAACACGCTTGCTAATAATTCCTATAGAATCCTCACTAAAATTCTCCTTATCTGGTATGGTAGAATTTAATTTGATATATGTCATCAAATTTTTTGAACTTTCTTTTTTTTTAAAAGAAACTATTTGATTTCTGCAGGTTGTTTGATGTATGTAGTTTATGCTATGTTAACAATTTATTGGCAGTAAAGGAAATAGATAAAGGACAGATTCAGTACAAAAAATGTCCTCCCCTTTGAATAATAAATTTGCAAGACTGTTTTTCAAACCAAATTAAGAAATACTGTATAGGATTTTGATGAATGGTTTTCCATGAAAATCAGACAATGAAAAAAAGTCACACCATAGTAATTTAAGAATTGGTCATATGCATTTAGCTAGAAGCTATAGGGGCTTTCAGATTGTACTTCATAGTACAAGAGCATAGTTCTTCATTCCAGTTTTAGGTCTAAATTTGTTTTTCTTGTCTGCTTCATAAGATTAGGGCAGATTTAGTTCTGAATCAATGGCCTGTCCTAAATAAAGTAATGAATACAAATGACAGTGAGGGGATATTGCATGCCGTTAAGTTAAAGCTCAATGATGGACTGGAGAGACTCTTCTCTTCTCATCCCTTTTCCTTGTCAAGATAATTGCGATTGCAACCATTAAAATTATTCTATCATTATTACTTGGTCTTCACCAGAATATTCTTAAATCAACCAAAAAAAAAAAAAAAAAAATTCTAGAGGAGGAAAGCAAAAGCTAATCATTAATTAGTTCAAGGAGCTTGGACCTAGCAGAATTAACACAAAGAAATTAAAAAATAGAGATTTGCAATTATGAATATTTTTAAAGACAATGTAAGATTTTGGCCTTTGGGACATGTAATGCTGCTGTTTCTTAAATTTGGAGATAATCAGGTCATCCAAAATATAAGAAATGATAATATTTCTATTTTTTAAAATCTATTCTATGGATGATGAAATAATTAGTATGTGGAATCAAAAAGTTCCTGTTAGCAATAAGCATGTGTTCATATAGTTTCTCATCGTCGGAAACCCACGGCCAATCTCACATACACTTATCATTAAGCGTATGCGAGATTAGCCAATCTCTGTGGGTTTCTAACGATGATAGTTTCTGTTACTGAGACTATGGTAACTAATGCCCTGTTTACACAGAGAGTTTAATTGGAATTAAACGTAAGTTACTTCAAATTAAATTTGGTCCGCGTTCACACGGAGAATTTAATGCAAATTAGTTTAATTCGAATTAGTTTACTGCGCATTAAATTACTTCGCATTAGCTCCGTGTGAATGCTAAGCGAAGCTAATTCGAATTAAATTTTGATGCATGCGTAAAAGCAGAATTAAGTCACAGGCCACATGACGATGGTCAAGTATAAGTACTTGTGCTATTTTTGAGTTGAAAACAAGGGAAAATTATGTTAATCACTAAAATATGTACAGACACTATGACATTATGTCAATCATATCTGCTCTGCACAATATGACGTGCTTTGTAAATGACGTCATAATAGCCTCACTGAATAGCCTTGTTGTAGAAATAAAATTATAATTCGCATTAGTTTACTTCGCATTAGCTGTCGTGTGAACGCAATTTAATTTGCATTAGTTTAATTCGCATCATTTTACTTCGCATTAATTTACTGCAAATTAAAATCTCCATGTGAACAGGACATAAGTTGGTAAAGAATGAAGAATTATTGGTGTATTAATTTTGAACAAAAGTAGAAATGCATACAGGTAGTGACCCATATTTTTTTGACATATTGTAGATCTACTAAAGTGCACTTTTATATGTATTTGTTTATTGTTCAAATATCAGAGCTAAAAATCGCTAATATGTAAATTAAGTGAAGGAATAAAAATATCAAGTCAAAGAATTTATTATACCAACCCTCCATCATAATGATTATAATGTTTATAATTAGCATGGAAATCAGTAGTTAAGCCTTACTACTAAAAGGAGTCTAAAAGAAGTCATAATCAATAAGTATGACCAGCATAAGGGAGAGTCGGGTCACTTTGGTGACAGTATTTTGTCACATAAGTGCTAAAACTCTCCACTCTTTCCGTTCAGCCTAAAAGTTCTTAGGAAGACATGGCAGAGGTAATTAATTTTGTTGAATTAAATCACAAATTCCTGTGGGAAATATTAGTGGGAACCAGATTTGTTCAAGAAACCAAAATGTTACTTGGTTATCAATAAATTCAGGAAATAAACCCTGAAAGGGAAAATTTTATATTAATACGAAAATAAGAGGATAGTTTTATGTATGGATGTAATTTGTTATAATTCCAGAGTCGCTTCTCATTGGTAAGTAGGACCACCATTAATGCCTTTGCGGGGCACTTTGACTTGATCTGTCTGTGTGATCTTGTGTTGTGCACTTTGCCATTTTTATTTCCATTGCTTCCATTGCAAAGGTTCAGGGGCTTGTCTCTGTCATTTTATGTTGCCATGTTTTATTAATTCTATAGAAGTCTACAATGTACCATCTATAGTTTTATCATGACTACATTTATTCAATTTTTGGAAGTTATGTTTTCTGAAATCTTGATGCTTTGTGTATGCTGCTGAGGTCAAGCAATTAAAAAAAAAATCAGTCCTGCAATTTATAGGTGTTTGGCAATAATAGGACACGAAGACATTCTTGCATTGATCTGAAAATACTAAAATTAGATGTGCAAACTTGGATATATTAAACCTTTTTTTATCCAAATCCTTTTCAAATATAAAATAGCTTTTGCAACTTTATTGGTCTGTACTATTCCTCTGTCTAGAGCTGTTTGACTGTCTGTCTGTCCATCTGTTTTCAAATGCTACTTCAAGTACATTTTGTGTGTTTGTTGTCACCCATGTGTTGCATTGGTTAGAGCATTTCATTCTGCAGTATGGTGTAAGGAGTTGATCCTTATTTGAGAGGTTCGAATCCCACTGTGGGATGTGGAGACTGGTCCTTCTGAAGAGACCATTTAAGCTGAAGTCCTGTGTTACAGTAGATGCTGTCACAAAAAAGATCTCTCACTATTCAATGGCTGTAAGTGCCAAGTAGCTATCTACCTACTTAGTCCTTGTTGCACCCGGAGGCACAAAGGGCAAGGACTAGGGATTTCCATTCTCTGTTCTTAGCTGTCCTCTCCAGTGCCAAGTACAGGTCTAAATTTGCAGCCATCCACCAGCAATTGCTTGTGTCTCAAAAAGAATGAAAAATTCTCTAGGCCATAAGAAGTTAAAAAAAACAACAACAATCAAACAAAAAAAAACAATAAACTTGGTTAACAAGTGAACTTGATCAAGATACATTATACAGTGTATTTCTTCTGATTTTGAACAGTATTGCCATCGTTTCTATATCCCTAAATGAATTGTGAATATCAAAGTGTATAAATTAGTATATCAATTTTATACTTGTGAGGAATTGTATTGCCATGGTATCTGAAGATGATAAGTACACGTTTATCAATGCCTCTCTTAAGCTTATGTCTCCTTTTAAACAAATTTAAAGAAATGTTAACTACACCAATATACTTGATTTTCGTTACTTGCTTGCTTTTGATGTCACTAGTAAGCAGTGTTGCCATGGTTACTGTAATCGGAGTAATTTCTCAAGCCAATTCAAAATGTGCATTCATTTTAGTATTATTTCATGATATATTTAATTATTTCAAAGTGCTAATTCTCAGAAATTATTGAAGCATTCTGTCTGTCTCAACTTGTCTGTTTTAAATGAGTATTCAGTGTCAGTTCAGAATTCAAAAGGGGAATGCATGCTCCAATCAAGCCTGAAGCAGTAGAGCAACAGTATCATTAGAGACTTCTGGTTTACCCAATTCAAATTCTTGGGAATTCAGTCAATTTCATTTTTCCCCACAGCTTTCATTGTTATCAATAGACAGGACTGATTTGATACATGCATTTTGTTGTATCTAAGTATGATGGATATTTTATATCAGAAATTACAGATCATTGATTGTTTTTGTTGTTGTTTTTTCTTTTTTTTTTTTTGATTCAGGAAATATGAATAAACCAATCTGATCCCAAATATTGAAAAAAAAAGTATAACTTCATTGGGAAGTATTTACATTGCACAGAATTCTAATGAATGACTTTATAGACTATTCATCTTTATTGTAAATCTAAAATATAGCTCCATCATGACCTGAAATAAATTGCATAACCCTGTACATGTATGAATTGGGTATAGTGAATTGGGCCTAATGGCCTCAGGCAAACAGTTTTGTTCTTGGGTCTGACAAAATGCATGTTGCCCTCAAACCCAGTCAATAAATGTATAAAATTTGATTGACAGTGACATTGAAGTAAAAGTGAATTTGATTTTTTATGCCCAGCCATGAATATGGTGATGTAGTGTTTGTCATGTCCATTTCCCGTCCTCCTGTCACACTGCATTTAGCTCAGTTTCAAAGAAAGTATTCAACTTCATCAAGTTTTTGACCTTGACCTTTCCTTTGACCTCACTTTTCTTAAATTAGTTTTTAGCTAAGGTATATATTCAAAGAAACAGTCCAAGATATTTGTATCAACCCTCATATGCTGATACATATTGGTAAGAGCTATTCAAGTTCATGAACATTTTTTGACCTTGACCATTCCTTTAACCTTGACATCATTTTTGTTAAATTTGTTTAGCTACGTTTCAAAGAAACTTTTCAAGATGTTTTTATCAAACTTCATATGCTTATAAATACTGATGAGAGCTATTCAATTTCATCAATTTTACTGACCCTGACCTTTTCTTTACCTTCACTTCATTTTTCTTAATTTTTTGTTTAACTCTGTTTTAAAGAAACAATTCAAGATAACTTTAGCAAATTTCATATGCAAATACATTTTAGCAAGTGCTGTTTTTTGATATTGACCATCCCTTTGACCTTGACCTCACTTTTCTTAAATTTGCATTTAGCTTAATAGTTTGAAAGAAACTATTCAAGAAATTTTATGTAAGCTTATGCACTGATACATTATTTGGTGAGAATTTATTAACTGTGTTCAATTATTTTTTGCCTTGACTTTTCCCAATGACCTTTGACTTTACTATTTATTGTGTCTAAAACTTATTTTTGAAGAAGTTTTCAAGATGTTTTCATCAAACTTCATACACTAATACAAATTTTCATGTTGCTTCACCAATGAACCCTGGGCAGGGCATTCATGTCCTATTGACATATTTCTTTTTTTTTAAATTATGGTGCTATAAATCACTTGGTTAAAAATCTGCCATGCTTTATTCATATGGCTATCAATATTGAAAAAAGAATGAAAGCCTGAAGTACATATTGCACAAAAATAAGCTGCATGTGCACAATTGTTTTTTTTCCATAGATTAACATTTTCATCCTTTTTTATGTGCTTTTTTCCTGTTGAAATCTGATAGGGTTTACCTCTGCATGGACCACTTCTTTTGATTTTACCTCATGTGTTCATATTACCATGAATGAAATTATTACTATATCTTACGTTTTGTCACCGCTGTAGCCAGTAAGAAATCAAAGATGAGTCAGAAGTGTTTCATATCTTTTAGAATTCCCATTGGGAAAAAAAATTATATCAGTTTCAAACCTTGTTACATCTGTAATCATAGCACTTCATTATTTAAGACAATATCTAAATTAGCACTACATTTTTTAAGACTAGATCTAAATTTTAAAAATTCTTGCATTCATATTTTAACTGAATAGCTATCATTCGGCTCGAATTGGTTTACATATTTGCATTTTCTTAACGTCTTTGATATTTATTTTCACCATTCTAAGTTTTTCATTTACTTTGTCATAAGTTAAAATATTAATTTCTATCTTAAATTTTATTGGTGCTGTCTATGAACTTTTATATGTACTGGACACTATTAAGAGTAAAATCACCCAGTCACATGACTTCATTGTCAAGAGGTGATGTAATCGAGTGACAGGTGTATCGATTCTTAATGAGATTTATTACAATGATGTTTCAGATGTGACAGTTAGATCTACTCGTGCTCCTCTTAAATACAATATCCTAGATATACTCTCCAATAACAACACATGAACTCTAAATTATCAATTTTCAAGGGTTTTCATAGTAAAGGAGAATTTCCTTTCACTCTACATAAATCCTTCTGCTGTAGAAGACATTGTATTGGACAGGAAGTTAATAATTTTATGAATTGCTATTGATATCATATGCTTAGTGGACATTATTTTCCAGCATTAATTGAACATGGATGACACCTACGTTATTTGTATTTCTCAATGTGTCTAAGTGTGGCTTGGCTTTTCATGACAGGTATGTTGTGATGACCCAATGCTGGAAAAGTGTTACTGGTCAATATAGATCAATTCTGCATAGAAATGAGTTTAAAGAATTTTCCAGCTATTAGAAGATTCTGCATGAATATGGGGAGGTGATAAAGGAGTGAGTCGTGATTTGGTGTGGAATTGGAGGATATATTAGCCTTTGCAGTCTGATCTTGTGGGAAAATATTGATCAGAGGTTCTTTTTTTCTTCTGAAATACTAGCGAGTGTGAAGGACAGATATTGTGAGCTAGCATACGGAACAATTCTGTTTTTATGATTTATTGAACATATAAGCAGAGACCATTTGGACGTGGTGGACAGTATAGAGTCAATCTGCATCAATTTTCCATCCTGCCCCTAGGCCTCGGATTTCCACTGCAGTGAATTGTTCGACAAATGAGATATCAGATGGCTTTTTGTGATTCAGGAGAACCTAGGGGTAGATGTTGTCTGTTGCTGAAGATTAATACATTGGCTTTAGAGTTATATATCCATTAGTTCGAAGATCATACAGGATATATAGGGACGTAACAAGATTTCAGTTTCTACTGCTGGATTTTTTTTTTCTTCCTGAAAAATCAAAGACTTGAGCAGTGTCATTTGTGGGGATTTGCAAGCTCGGGTTAAGGTATTTTCGTGAGACCTAGTCGTTTTTTATGTGTTAGTTAATTGATGGTTTATTGGATTCAGGAAAGTCATGCAATTTCTTTATTCTTTGTAAAATTAAAGATGGCTCAATGTTATAGAACAATATGCAGTGTGATGACAAAAAATATGGATTTACTGTAAATTTAAAAAAAAAGAAATATTCACGGGGGCTTAATTTAATTTAAGTTTGTTTATTTCATTAATAACATTATACATGTATAAACAAAATAATAAATCCCTGACAAAAATTTTATTTTATATTTCAATATGGTTATTTTGAAATCATGAAATTAAGTCCCCATGAAATCATTTTAGATCACAGATCAAGATTTTATTCCCAGGAGACTTTCCACTTAATGGGCAGTATATGACAAAATTTGTTAGAGAAAAAGTTGAAAGAGAATTATTGAATTGTAGCTGTATCATAAGGAAGGGCCTCATTCCACTGCAGTACAAAGAAGCAATTAATTACTTGATTGTTTTGTTGTGCATTGTTAATGCTGCATAATTTTAATGTATTAAACCCACATGAGTTTGCTTTCATTCTTACTCAGAAAATTTTACATTGTAGTTCAAAATAGAGAGCATATTTTAAATTTAATGCGATACATGTGTGCACTTTGAAGAGAAACACTTAAAATTTTGTTGTTTTACAGGAAAGCAAAAAAATAGAATCCTTCAACATGGAACATTAAAACAAGTATTGTGTAGTGCTTAGTGTAAATTTGATACATGTACAATGAATTCAGATAAAATTGGTGTACAGTAAGGATTTTATGTTGATAAAAAAAAAAAAGATTCTCCCTTTGTATTTGTGTGCTTGTTGACACTATGAATGGTATATATGTATATACTTTAAGAATTTTTGAGTTGGTGACAATTCTAAAGTCTCATCTTGCTTCTCTGCAAATGATGTCTAATGGAAAACCCATATTTATATATTTTTTTTAAAAAATGAAATTGAAGGGGGGGTGTTTGGAAAGTTTATTACAGACTTAATATTTGAAATGTTTTGGACCCATGGTTCTTTTTGTCGCCATTATCAGCCTATATGCAGTTATCACCACTGACCAGCTTGCTTAACTAGTACATGTACTATTTCTCCAACCAAATTGATTCATAGTAGTAGATCTATACAAACTTCAGAAGTCTTAATAATAAATGTTATCATACTTTAAATTAATCAATAAAATCATAGTCCATACTGATGAAAACAACCTAACTACATAGGATGGTACAGTTCTGCCTATACATGTAGGTGTTACTGGGTGGGAAGAAAATTGTTATTTCTCTAGCAAACACAAATATCTAGTTACCGATACATTAATTTAGAGATACTTGATAGTGTGGAGACTGATTGCTGTATTGTGACGCAGGTTGAGGGGCTCATCATTTCTAGAAAGAGAATCTTGTCAGTAAAATATTTTACTTAGAAAGTACATGTAATCTGTTGCTAGAGATTTATTTAGTGTGCAAGATAGCATGAGATTTCCGAGGACAAGTTACTGTTTCAAAGCTCTATAGCTTTATAAAACACTTGCAGTTTATACCTTAATTGGTACATTCCTATTGTGGGTTTTGGTGTTATTTGGTGTGGAATGCATTTTGGTCAATTTGCAACCTCCTAGCGGTGAAAAATGTAGTTTTTTCTGGGTACTAACTACTGTAGCCAAACTTCATGTGCAAGCAGTAAGTATCTGTGAGAATTGCAAGCCACTTCACTTGCAGATATTTATGGTTGTGAAAATTTATTGCTTTAGAATGTTTATGAAACAGGAAATGGTCGTTGCAAATATTATTTTTCATGGACAACAATTAGCAAATAAAAAATACTGATTATAAATAGTTGCTTTATAGTATGCTGCTTTCCATTTAGGGCGCAAACACTTAAAAGAAAATTCCACCAAGTGTCATTCAGACTAAGAAAATTATTCATAGAAAATGATATGAATCTATGGTTTTGTTAAAAGACTGTCTCATTTCTTCTCTGAAGCTTATGTATAGGAAGACTTGGCCAGAGGAATAATTTTGGCAGTATATAGTTATACAAATGACTAATTGTCACAATAGCGTGAACTTTCATGATGGCTTCGATCAAAATTCGTTAAAGTGTAGGGAAGATCCCCAAAGCGCTAGCCTGCCCAAATGAAGCTGGTCAGTTCTGTGGAAAAAGTGTTAATTATATTGATGAAAGACTGAGGTTTTGCCCATCTTGTCCCAACTGCCTTATTACCACAAAGCTGTAACATGAAGATCCATTAGTTTCTTTAGACTGCTTCTATTCCAGATCAATTAGTGGGTTTATCTGGTTTGTGCATGGTCTTGAGTCATTGCGGACATGGAGAATGCATGTCCTTGAGGAGAAAGGGAATTTTCATTTTATTATAATTAGGTATACATTGAATGTAGTGTTGAATTGGAAATGAGGAGCTTTTAAAATTTGAAGATCAATTTTTGAAAAAGTGAGTTCATATCAATATTACCATTTGTAGCCTTGTATGCAATTGATTCAATCAAACAATTGGAGTTTTGGTAATTGTTCTCTTCATATAGTATTCAGTGTGTCCATTCAAAAGTTTAAAAACAAAATTTCATTTGCTACAGAACACCAGTACTCTCTTCTATGACAAAAAGCAACTTCTGAATAATTAGGAGTTCTTTGTGTTCCATAAAAGATTATGTATTGTGCAATTTACAGGTAAGATGTGATGAATTACTTTTGCAATTTTCAGTTCTTAAGTGGTTTCAAATGTTCTTATGATTGACTGAAAAAATGGACCACATTTTCAATATAGGAATAATTGGTTACTAACGAGTGAATTGCATGTTTACAAATGGCAGAAGCAATTTGCAGGAGGTGTAGAAAAGCATTGGCTTGGAGAATACGTACTGGTTCTGTGGTCGGAGACAGTTTAAATATGATAGATTACTGGATCAATATATCTGCATGTTTACCTTTTTGAATTGATCAGGGTCCACAACTCTTGGCTTTGCCAGCTATTTTGTTTGTGACACCAATACACATTAGTTGTTTCAATCTCCATCTGCATGTATATAGTGCAGATTGGATTTGGATATGGCTACTACTAGTATAATTTTGTTTTGAAAGTGCAAAAAGGTAGGATGCATTCTTAAGAATTGATCTTTTTTCTCTAAGAAAGATTGTTTGAAACATTAAAAGAAAATTATCAGTTGAGTAAGAGTATGCTTTAAGATTAACTTTCTAAGACAGGCTAGCATAAAACATCAATAATGGAAACTTCACTCACTATGAAAGGTTTCACTAAATGTTTACTTGACTGCTTTGACTGTGGATTTTTAATGTTGTGCAAACAAAGATATTAACCCTTTTATAGCAGACTCCCCCAAAGCCTGAATTGATTTCTATGGGAAGTTGCACGGGTACGGAAGCAGAAATCAATAAACTTCGAACCCCACATGAATTTGACACTTCTTTTTTTGTATGTGTATAGACACATTAGATTTGGCATTCATAACACAATTCTAACACATTGTATTGCAATGAGACTAGCTTTCATATTTTTTTCATGACTTCCCTCCAACAAGGTAAATATATATTCTAGAGAGAGTATTTTGATACTAGTAAGGACATGACTTATAAGAATACATCAACTTGGTGCAAATAACTGTGAAATCTCCATTGTGTTTAGTTGCAATATATCATTTCATTTCTTCCTCTTCTGCAGTGGGCTTGTAATTTATTGTCTGCAAGGCCATAGTAGCTTTTATTTAATTTGGCATTAAAGGCTTTGGTATTTTCAGGAATTGATTTTGCTGAGGGTTGTTATACTTTTTTGTTGGTTTTCTTGCAGTCGGCTCAGGCAGATTTGAAGAAGTTGAAGGAGTTGGAAGCAACCAATGAGACCTTGCAGAAGGAACTTGGAAAATTAGAAAAGGCCAAAGACGACACTGAAAAACTTGTGAGTGATGTCATTTTTCAAACATTACCCTTTTCTATAATTTAATTACTGTGTGAGCATTTTGTAGACATTTATACATGTATAATTATGGATTCTTTCCAGTTTTTCCAATTTTATCGTGAAGATTTATTTCTTTTCATTGAATTAATGATTATTGAATTTGCCAAATGCAAGAACCTTGAAAGCAATCTTGCTAGAGTTATATCATGCACTAGGAAAAAAATAATTTGCATATATTCACAGATTTGAAGGTGTAGTGTGTTTAAAGACTTTCTCTTTGCATATTCTGTTTGTTTGTAAATGGAAATGATAAGCTTTCACCAAATATTCAAAATCCTATAATAAGCATACCTATTTCCTGAAACAACCATCAAATTTCTCTTCCTAATTATGAATGTTACATACAATATCTCCACATTGCACACAGAATGTTCTTCTCATTGTGTGTTTTACAGATGGTCTTGCCTAATGCATAGACTATATAAGAACCATAAAAGCATTTTGATTTGGCCCTTATGGATGCTTAGTCTGCTCTTGGGTATAATACAACTCTTATTTCCATTTTTCTGTGATCTCCAATAAGTAGCTACCAGGTAGTTATACCAGATCACACACCGGGAGTATAAATGACTTGCGAAGTTCTGCATTATGAAGACCACATACAATATAAATAGCTTGTGCAAGCTTGCTGCAATCTATTTGATTTGTTTTTCTTTATGTGATATTTTAGATAAATAAAGTGCATACAATACTGCATGTTAGTAATACAGAGTGAGGTTTTGTTGTGTTCTGTATCATAAAATACCATTTTAAAAAAAATGCAAGGACCTCCTACAAGCTTATAAGCATGCCAATAATGTAAAAACTGATAGACTTCTTACTTTTGTCTAATAATTTTGATGTATTAATTTTTCAGGAGATAGAACTTACTCAGAAGAAAATTGAGTGTGAGACCTTAGCAGAAGAAATCAAAAGAGAAAAGCTAAGGAATAAGGAGCTGGTCAGTATATTACGGTCAGATATTTTAAGACACACAAAATCATCAAACTTTTAATGTCCATATAACACATTTACAGTATATTTCTCTCTTTCTCTGTTCCACCCTAAAAAAGCATTATTTATGAACACGGATAAAGCAAACTCATGGATATAGCAAAGTGTTTTAGGGACCCCAGGCAAACTTTTAACGACATCAGAGCTGTTTGTTATAATTAACGTAAATTCCATACTTGTCCCAGACGGAGTGTGTCAAAATACAAATTACTGATTCATCTCTGGAAATTATGCTTCCAGACTATGCTCCAAATTTAATTTTCTTCTATGTCTTATATGCCTTATGAATGCTTTATCAGTAACAATAATTTACACAAGGGCCTCAAAGATGAAAACATGTAGGAAGATTATCATTAATTAATTTACATATTATACCCTAATACATGTTCAAAACAGAGGGAAAATGAAACAAGACAAGACTAATTCTTATCTAAGATTTACGAAATGTTCATAGGAAAGTTAAACCAGGGTATTGCCAAAATGAGATTACTGACAAAAAGCTCAAATTACTATAAAAACCTTATACATTACTGAAATCTGCAGAAAGGGTTATGTCTTGTAATATTTTATGGTTGTAATGAACTCTGATAGAGCAAATGTATGGATATTGAGGGTTGATTTTGTCATTTTTTAATGAGCAGTCATCTGCTATATAGAAAGGAAACATATTTTGCAAGTTTGCTATACTTAAAAACATTTGTTATATGAAAACAACAAATTTTGAATATATAGAAATAAATACATAGGCCTGCCAGGACTCTACTAAATTGAAATTCTACTATATATGTATTTGAAACGGTCATCAGAAGAAAGCTAAGTCACCGATAGGAAATTAAAAGTCATGAAGTGATTTCAAGTGTTCAAGTGCAAATTCACATTTAAGTAGAGGAGTTGGGGGGGGGGGGGGGGGTGTAAAGATAGGAGTACTTAGTTGATTTAGAGAAAAATGGTTGAGTTGACTGAGGGTCATTGTAGAAGGTTCTATCTAATCTCTGCATATTGCCAATAAAGAAAGTACACATTAAAATATCTCTGTTGAGACCTATTGTATATATTGAAAATAGACATGTGTTAGTAAAACTTATGAATATTTAAAGTAAAGTTTAAAATGTTGCTTTTTAACAGGAAAGTGATTTACAAGAGAGTGCAGCACAGAATACCCAGCTTACTGTTCAGGTGTCAGACCTCCAACATAGACTTCAGGACCTGGAAAAGGTTAGTGTTAATTGCACTTGTTACAGACAAATGTGACAACATTTTGCATTGAAATCATTTCAAAATGTAATAATACAAATGTAATAAGGCAGATTGTAATAATGTAAAATGTAATAATGATAATAAAGTACAATCAAAATTACTGAGTATTATTGGAATGTGAGGAAATATATTTTTCTTAGTTCTATATATTTTCATACTAATGCTTGACCCCAAAGTGTGACTATTATAATATTCATCATTATTACAATGTGTTTTACTAACTTTCTATGCTGTCTATAAGAATCTGAAAGGGCTAAGTGGAGGAAACTGCAGACTGGCCCAGTTAATTTCTCTACAACAGGGTCAGAAATGGAAAATGTGCATATATATATATATATAAATATACAAGAAAAAAAGGAGCATTTTAATCAGGAACATAGTGATGGAGGGTCGATCAACAAAGAAAACAAAGAAAAAATTCGTAGGAACAATATCAGCAAAAACTATCATAAACAAACTTTCATTTAGACTGTAAAAACACTATGGAAAACATTGCATGTATCCTTTCTGTATGTATATTTTTAAGAAATTTGAACTGTCAGACAGTACCCTTTGATTTCATAATAGCAACATGCAGATGCTATAAAATATTATGTTGTCAGGGTTAACAGTTCATTTGACTGAAGTAAGAGTTTACCAAAACAATTATTAGGTGTATGACAAAATGTTAATACTGTGGATTCATCATTGTTCATAGAGGATCAATGTTCGTGGATTTTGTGGTTCACCCTTACCCTTGAATTTACATCCAAATGAATGATTCTCAGGAATCAGTTCATTGAATTGTGTGTATATATACGAGTAAGCCACAAAATTGTGTCTCTACAAACCAGTAAAATTTTGACCCCACAAATTAAAATGATTCAACAGTAAATTCTGTTTCGTAAAGAAAAAATTTCTCTAAAATACACACTTTGGTAGGGAATATGCAATATGTGTTATATAAATCCTTATTGTGCTATGGATATTTTTTTTTTGTCAAGTTCAATTGTTTCTATAAAAAAAATGAGGGACTGAGACTTCTACAAGTTGCAATGAAATAAACGTGATAGTTATAGGACTGGTAAAAGAGAGACAACTCTGCTACATCTTTACAATCTGGAAGCTCTTAATTATAAAGTAAAGGTGTTGAATTTTGTACTTCTGTAGGAAAGAAAATTGAAATAGAGCAGATAGTTATAACATTAACTTATACCTTTCAAGATGTGAATTCTGAAGTGGTGAAACACCCAATCTATAAACCCAGTACCATATGATGGGAGGAGGAAAGGGGGGGGGGGGGCAATTGGGAAAAAAGTAATTTTTGCTGGGGAAAGGAAAGAAATTTGGAACTAACTTGGCTGTGGAAAAATTATCTGATGCTTTTGCTTGTTCTTATCTACATGATGCAAGCAGTGAGAAAATTGTTGGTCGGCAAGACCACAGTGCATATGAGTGACTGCAAAACTTATGGCAATCTATAGGTATTGAGGGCAGAAGTCTTTTTTAGGCTAGACTGATTTGATGAAAGCACATATCCAATTTGCTTAACAGACAGATGATGAAGTAGGTGATTTTAGGTAATTCACTTGAGGTGTCTGGCACATGTTAGGTTGTTCTGAACTGTGGTGTATTGAGTCTGAATAAGTGAGGATCCATTAATATTCAAGTATCATGGGAAATCTCCCAGAATTCACACTTATGCAAGGCCTTGTGGGAAATATATTTTCAGTTGAAAATCTAGTTATTAGGACAATTTTTGTTACCATTTCATTATATCCCCATAATCAGTTGACAAAAAATAGAATATTTAAGTTGAAGATAACAATTTGAGTGATTAGGAAAATTTTTGCTACCATATTTCATCATATCCCCATAATCAGTTTTCCCATAAGTTGAAGATTGCAATTTGAGGAATTTAATATTTATTGGAAAATTACCTTAAGTTTTCATCTGGACTTATATCCAAAGAAATGCTGTGTTCTTACCATTACTAAAATTAGCAAGAAGTTAATTAGAATGCCAGGAAAATTGATATATATCATATACCGTATATATACTCGCCTATAAGTCAGTTTTTTGGGAGTTGAATTTTAGACCAAAACTCTCTGTTCGACTTATAGGCGAGTTATAAAAAGAATGGCATTTAAGAGGGTCATTCCCTCTAATATAAGCTTAAAAAATACAACCGACTTATATGTGGACCAACTTATAAGTATATATGGTAGACATTTTGTGTATCTGTAGTTGTGGATTGTTGAGAGAAAAAAAACTTGAAAGACTTATTAATCACATTGCATGGATACATCCAGATATATGTGTTTACCTGTGATTGATTAATTTTGTTTTTGATTGGATAAGTTTGCCAGCTAGGTGTTGACATTTAATGAATATTCAAATATTTCTTCCCTTATGATATAACTTATTAATTGTCTAATTCTATAGAGGCTGGCAATCTATATCAGAAATTCATGAAATCAATAGTATGAAAGGTTGGGAGTGATAAAAATAATTTTCGGTATGTCAGAGTTGCAGCTATTGAAGGAGGCTCACTCAGTTTTTTTAATGTAAAAACTCTTTTATAGCATAAGTAACATATACACTGACTTCGGTGTAAAAGCAAAGTTTTAAGAAAATTGGGGTATTTTTAGGGTCATTTCATGTACTGTAGGATTATATAAGGAATTGCTTTTTCTTTTCACTTTAAAGCAAATTATCATAGTACTACTGTAACAATAGACTTTTGACTCAAATTGTAGTATGTGATGAGTACATAATACTAAATTGTACAGTGTAGATTATGAATCCCATCATATGGGTTTCAAAGGGGGCATCTCAAAAAGTGAAAAGGAGATGGGTGAACAATTAAGGCATGTCTATAGCTTCAGGTATATAAAAATCGTATTCATGCAGTCTGTGAATTTAGCATTTAGAGTAAATTAAGTTTTCATTATTGAAATTTATGAAATTATGATAAACAAAACTTTTCTGAGGAAAAATTTCTTGGCAAAAATTATTCTGTTATTTAAAAAAAAATGTGGTATTTGTGGGGTTCGAACCCTAGCAATAGAAATCCTGAGTTTACATTTTCCTTCGAGACTAACACGCTAACCACTATGCTATGCAGCTCCTGATGAATAGTGGCATTTAGATCATGTTTTTGATATATGACCCTTGACTAAATGGACTTCAAGTATTTCAGTCTGGGAAAGATGTGAATATTGTACGTGTCATATAAGTGTATTTTTAAGGTATTGTGGGTCTTTGCTCCATGTTTTTTTTAACCAAAAAATTTACATTTTTAAGCAAACTCTGAGGATAATCCTTAAAAAAAATGGAGCAAAGACCCACTCATATCAAGAAGTTGTGTTATAGTACGAGATAACGATTCTTTTTGCCCTCTTTAGTGTGTGTGCAATTTCATAGGCAAATATTTTCAATCTTTGTGAGATTTTTGCAAATTGTGGAGATTTTACATAAAGTATACTTTAATGTTAGATGAAATATCAAAGAAAATTTTTGTTATAATTGAAATTTAATTTTTCATCTTCATGTTTGTCGCACTATAGGCATTTCGCTCATATTGTTTGCCCATCTTCTTTATGAAATTTTTTACTTTTTTATGACGTTTTTTTTTTTTACTTCCTCCTGAAGAGATTTAATTTATCATCATATTATTAACACACAATGATGATATCCAGTCAAATTATAAAAAATCATTAAAATTTTTTTTTCTTCAATTTTTGTGTCTTAAAATTTCTTTAAAAATGTAATTATGCTGTATTTCAGTATACTGTACAAAATATTGCAAGATGAAAGTGTGGCCATGTTGCTTTATGCAGTCTCCATGGGATATCTTGATCTATTCTGTGTTCACACATATGTTTCTTATGATGTTAGTTGGCATGACTGTGCTGCCCTCCTTTTATTTTATTTTAATTTTTTTGTTTCTTATGATTTCTTTTGGCATATGTTCTTCTTTTTTTTTATTTCAGTTGGCATGAGGGGGCTTCCCTAGTTTTATTATATTTTTTTAGTTTTTAGTTTCTTATGATTTCTATTGACATGAAAGTGCTTCCGTAGTTTTATTATAATTTTTCTGTAGCCTTGTCATTCCTTACCAGTGTTGCACTAATGATGTTGAGTGATGGTTTCTGAATTGCTCAGTAGGGGGGCCGTTTTCCGGAGTCTGTCCCCAGAAGGACATTGATTTTTGCTTTCTCTTTTTTCTTTCAGTTGAGGTCTAATTTAATTTGACTAGAATGGTTAATCAATATTAAAGTAAATTTGGAATTGATGTGAATTTTTTGCATGTTCATTTAATATGTTCTTGTACATGATTTGTAATGGTTAGATATCTGTTTTTAGTAATTGTAATCTTGAATTAGAGATGTGATCAGCTGAAATTCATGCAGCCAAAATTTATTCAAACAAGTTATAAAGGTAGAGCATCCTCCAAAAAAGTAGTCACACTTGTTAATCAAAGTTCTAAAAGTTCTGTAAGCCAGGCTCATTAAAAAAAATAATGATGTTAATTAAAGATTCAGTGACATCTCATCTAACATGAAAAGCAATGAAAAAAACTTAATATGAAAAAAAAAATTCACATTGGAAATGGTGTATCTTTTATATAGTTAAGGGGCCCTATGCAATGGTCCGAATTAATCAGAGTTTTATTTGACTTGACACCAATGAAGGTAAGCAAATGGATTAGCCTGGTTCCCTGTCCTTGTTTTTCTTCTTTTGTTCCCTAGATCAGACTTGGATTGAAATTAACTCTTTTTTCCACAGGCTAGTTTTAGCCTGTGGATATGAAATCCACTTGAAAGCTAAAATGAAAATCTACAAACTTAATTTAATGAATGAATCATTGCTTTTTCCATGCTTTGTTTTTATTAATTAATCAATTGCTTGGTAACTGTATCTCTTGTGTACAATTGGAATTGAAAATTCCTGTTCCCATTTTTAATGGTTTAAAG